CCCTCCATTTTTCCTGGTCTTCCACTCTGACTCCATCACCCTCCTCCTCCTCTTCCTCTTCCTCTGCTCTCTGTGCCCCTGAATCCCATCCCCCCATTTTCTCCATCCATCCATCTCCCTCCCTCTGTTTTCCCTTGAGGCTGCGGATAGAGCCACTCCTCTAACATCCTTCCTTCCTCTCTCCTCTTCTCTCCTCTTCTGTAATGCAAGATTGTGTAACACGGAGCTGTGGCTACTCACCCTACACTGACACTCTGACTCCTTCCATCACCCTGCTACAATGGTAGTGATGATAATTGAATTTCGTTCCCCATCAGAGAGTTCCTCACTGCGGCTGCGGCTTATAAAGGCTATAATGGCAACAACTACACTATGGATCAAAATCAGGAGTCTTACAGCCCATCACAAATTATTATCTTGTAGTAACCTTTTTGTTGTTTTATCCTATAAATAGAGCATCCTACCAAATTAAAAAAAGAATTCCTGTCTTTGGTGAAGATGACTGGTCTGCTGGTCATTAGTGTACCTCATCACATGGAGCTATCCTGTGGACGATGTCTTTAAGGTGTCCAACCATCTTCTCGTCCCTGAAGTCAGAAGGGAATGTCTCTGTCCACTCTGTCAGCAGCTGCAGAATCTTGGGACCAAACTTGCGCACTTTTGCCTGTTGTTGAAGAAGTGAAAGAGGTTTAGTGTGTTCTGCACGTGTGACTCCCTCAGCAAAAGAAAACACTATCGTAAAGTCAGCAATCTGGCCGGAAAATCCATGGTTGCTTACATGCAGAGCACGGGTACGTCTGAATGCTTTTTGCTGTGACTGTGTTTCTGTTCATTAGCTTGTGCATTTTCATTCAGGAGTTGTGTGTTTGTGTATGGTGCAGTGCTGACCGTATCGAGTGGGCTCTGATCCAGCTGCTGCTGTTTGATGCACAGCTCACACAGCCTGGCCAGCAGTTCCGGAGGAGGGATGAACAGACGAGCGCTCAGCAAGAAGGTAAACACATAGGCTTTCTGTCAAAGGACAGAAGGAGACATTCGCTAAGCCACTACATCAATAAAAAACACTGCGGCTTTCTGTAATTAAAGGGAGCGGAGCAGCACTTTAAATGGAGACATGGGGCTAATCATCTAATTGGCAGCACTGTCACTACAACTATAACCTGAAATGGACTTTCTGATGGAGTTTATAATGAACATCGGAGTGACAGTAGTTCATTTGCGTTTACCTCGGGGTAGTAATCGGCTGTGGGGACCAGGTTATGGATCAGGGTCTCCAAGGAGGCGGAGGTGATCGGGGGCCCATCAGCCAGGCAAGCCCCTGGCCCCGGGCCCTCTTGTGGGGCCTCCTCCTCAGGCTCAGCACAGGCCAGATGAGGGCTGAAGCCACTGGGAGTGGTGAACATGGTGCCTGAGCACACAGTCTGGGGCATTCCTGTCTAAGATACAAACAGAACAGAAAAAAACTTTCAGCAGAATATAGACAGAATGAGGAAGAGGGATAAGGTTTGGTTTTATGAAATGGGAAGTACTACTGGTAAGTATTACTGGTAGTAGTTAATTTGAATCAGTAAGAGGAAATTAATTGAATGCAAATTTTGCTCGCATTAGGTGTCTGGCACGATGGCTCCACTTATAGCAGTTGGTGGTAATGGTGATTTGGGATGGAAACCTGCAATCATGCTCAATAGAAAGATCTTCACCTGAGACATTTTTCATGGAAATCCCTGGAGTAGTGACATGAAACCTTTATATTGTATCATTAATGCAACTGTATTTTTCTAAACAAGTTAAAAGAAGCTCTGCGCATATTGTTTGTTTCTGATGACAAACGACTACAGTGTAGAGCATTGTGTGAAACTTTACTTCACACTCTCCCCCTTGCGCTCATTCTACACAGCAACACACTCATTCCATCCAACTGATGATCCGCTGCCGTCATCGGGGGATACAGAATATCCCCCAAAACAGCTGCCCACATCGAAAAGACAGAGGAGAGGACGAAAATGTGGGTCACCCAGTCGCTGTTGCTGCATGAAAGCAATCGTGTGGCCTCCATCTCTGCCCTGTATGTCTTTCCCTATAAGCGTATAATGCTTTCGGTTACGCGTTTAAAAAATTCAACATGCTCCTTCACTCAATGGACCAACACAGCAGCTGTAGTGGAAGGAAGCACTTACTATACTGCACGCTGGGGTAGAGATACTACAGAAACCCAGAGTGATCCCCAGGGCGCAATTATCATCATCACTCATCATCACTTTAATGCCATCTACAAGTAACTGATAAATCACAGAGATCCTTCCTTCAGTAGTTTTACAGCAATGCAGAGGAAATTATAAAAAAATACTGGTTAAATTAAATGAAATTGTGTACATGGAAATGAACAAGTAATTAGATGTTGCACTTTTGGTTTCTTATGTCTGAATTTGACATTAATTGACATAAAAATGGACTCTGCTCCTGCTCTCACTGATCAAATCTGGTGACTAGATCTACCTGAATCACTCATCATCACCAAGGACAACTGCACTCTCTGGGCGCCTTCAGGCGAGTTCAGCAGCACAAAGGCTCTACGCCTGCAGGAGTCACATGAAAGGCAGCACACCCACATGCTGACAGCGAGACCTTAAGCAACATGCAGGAAGTTATTTCAGATGTAAACACGCCATGTTCTTCCTGCTGTTTGTAGCCTAGACGACAGCCTGGGCACGTGTGAAACCTAAAACCTAAAGCAGAAGAGAGGTAACGCAACAAACGAAAAACAAATTCAGAGAAGTAACGGTATATGGAGAAATGGCAACATGGCATGATATGGCCACATCAGCGATCACCAACATCCTAAAAAGCAAACCTAGCAATGACTCAGGCTTGCTGCAATCGTTTCATCTTCTGGTGACCTTCAGGTTCCCTTCCACCCCCTCACTTATCAGCCATCTTGATATTCCGGTGTCACAGTTCCCTGGGTCCCTGGGGTGAAAGGTCAAGCACACACAGGCGTGCAGGAGTGATGTCTCAAGTTTCCTGTGTGAGGAGTTCAGCTTTCCTTTGTTCTCCCTGCTCTCTTACACATGAGCAAATATTCATGCACTTGCACACACCTAGACAACAACATGCACAGCCAGGCACATAAAAGGCTGGGGGATGGGGAGCCTTTCTGTGGGACAGTTTAACAGCCTTCCTTCCTACTCACACCGCTGACACCCACAGCCATCTCTCTCACAATATACACTGCGGTTAAAGAGGACCGACATCTTCTAGTCTGCTCCTGAGAGCTATAATCTTGGCTCCTTTAATAAACCCCACTCTGTGAAATAGTGACAACAGCCTGTGAGAGGAGAAAAAAAGAGGTGTTTAACTGAGCAGATGACACTCAGGACATCTGATTGAGCTATATCAGTCTACATATTGAAGCTATACACTTAATAGGGAAAACTCACATACACAGATACAAATAACTTTTATCTGTGTCTCTCGCTGCCCTGAACTTTGAAGAAGCTTTTAAATTATGTATTTTGCATTACTAGACATTACCACGGAAACCTGGAACAAAAAATATTACTACCATAATCTAAAATGCTGGCCTGAAGTGTCTTCATTACAACATTTAAGCTGTTTTCCTCCAATAAAAGTGACTGGCACTGTCTAGATTACGTTACAAAAGGGGAAAGCCGGGGGTGCCCTTGCAGCGACCTCCTCTAGATTGGATTACAAACGCAGCAGCAGAGAAGACATGGTCTGATAAACAGAGAGGGGTGAACCAATCCAACATGCCTTTATAAAAACACAGATGCAGCAGGAAAGCCTTATGGTAACTGGAAGGAACTTCCTCTGTGATGTGACTGACAGGAAGACAAACTCTGCTCAGCTCTAGGAGTGTGTCTGACTAAATCCAGGAGTTTATCTGTAAGCCATCACATGCATACAAATGAACACACACACACACCTCTGCCAGTGTGTTTGCATTCATATAAGTGTGGAAGTGACGGAGAGTGTTATTCTACGTGCCCACACTGTCAATGATTTCCTCTATCGTTTGTGAAGATCTTCACTTTCCTTATTTCTCACAGTTGCTTCCTCCTCAGCTCTCCTCTTCTCCCTCCAGCATTTCTCCGGCTCTGGTTCTTCATTTCATCGCAGCGCAGCTTCTCTGTCAGTCGATACATCATGGTCTTGATGAGGTCGAGTCGAGGTCAGTCAGGTACAGATGTGTACATCTTGTGAGAGACCAATCGGCAGTGTCTGTGTATCACACCCTCAACCTAGTTGTCACAGTGTCACTTAAAACTGATTAAAACAAAGAAGAGGAAAACTGCACTGATGCATCTTCAAGTGCTTAAATCGAGTTAATGTGAGAGTATGTAACTTTTTGCTGAACAGCAGCCATTTTGGTCTAAAGTGACAATGGTATTTGAACTTCCCTTCATTTCTTAAAATTCTTTAGTCATTAGGGGGACTTTACACATCAAAGTGTTATGTCTGTGTACATGTCTTATTAGTACTACGGCACATGTGGCTCATTAGGAAGCTGCCAAAAATCTGATAAATTGCCTCAAGTGAAGTTCTGCTCCTCATCTCTACTTTAGGCTACCAGCTCGAGGCTATATAAGCCTAACTGCTACTAGGATAACACACCCGAATCTCTGACCAAACTGCTCGAGACGGATTGTGGTTAATGTAGGCGCCAAATTTCAACAAGGAAGAAAAATGTGTGGAAAGAAAAAGACAATATCTCTGGTTCTCCTGCATCAATTTCATTATTTTTACTGGCCATCAGTGTTATAGAAGAGCATTGCAGTGCAACGGAGGTGAATGGGACTAGTCCTGGTGCACTGCACTGTGCTTGTTTTAAGCTACTTTTGTATTTACGTATGACTGGCAAATGAAAACTAAAATGAACAGCTACTTTATGGATAACTACGGTTTTGAACTTCTTATATTATTTTACAACCATGTTGCTTACACCGCTTTTCTTCCTATAATGTAACCAAGAAGTCATTCACAGCTGTACTCTATGTATAACTTGTTTCCATATCTCACGACACACCCAGGTCCCTCTGTGCCAGTCATATTGCATCAACACTGCATGAAATAACACACTGAGAAACAAGCAGCTAAGAACAGGTGAGTGTAGTGGCGTGTGCTCTAATCCCCCTTGAGATCTCCAACAGTCAGCCAACGGCAGCCCTGCACTCTGTCTAGACAGCTGGGGGAGTGTCATTGTTCAGGACCCTTGCAGTGTGTGTGTGTGTGTGCGCGCGAGTGTTTTGTCTTGCAATACTGTCAGACTGTTATCATTGCCATCAGGGGATCCGCCTGCTTTGTTCTATCCTGATTAACAGAATGGCACTGTCTGGAGACACACAATCTTTATCAGCACCCTTGACTGTGTAGCTGTCTGTGTGTGTGTGTGTGTGTGTGTGTGTGTGTGTGTGTGTGTGTGTGTGTGTTGACGAAACAACGGCATTACTGGTATGACCGAGCGGCTTGAGGCTGACAAACAGCTTCATCACTCTATTAATCTCTCTATTCTAGTAGCCATTTCATATCTTGGTCTCTGTAAAACCTGTTCCACACCTAACTGTGTGCATGTGCGTGTGTGTGTGTGTGTGTGTGTGTTTCTTGAGGAGAATAGTGACACAGCTGCTGACAGATCAGTTCTGGCACTAGGGAGTTAATGGTTGAGGACTATCAGCATTAGAAACGACTCTTCATTCAAGACACTTATTCAGAACAAATCAAACCACTGTCTGACCTCTATCATCAATGAGTCAAGGGTCAAAGGTGAATAGTTAAGGCTCCTTGATGGGGGCAGGTGGATCCAATGTCACCCTGGAGCCATTGTAGTAATAATGCTCTAGTATTTGGCTAAGTTTTGAGGAATACATAAAGGCACCGTGTGCAGTTAGGGACCTTTTTAAAAAGGCCTTCAAGAAAAGACTCATTAGATTCATCAGGTCACAGTTGACTTTGATTTATTGGCACTGCTGGCCATGTCCATTCATCATCAGCCCAAATTAAATTTAAGGACAAGGTACTTGCCTACATGTATATATTCAGGACCCACATGCTTTTTATAGTACTGCAGCTGAAATAGCCTGGATCATTTCATAATGATTTCATAATGATGCTAAAAAAATACAATTTCTCAGTTGGACAAGAATGAGCTATATTTCTGGCAAGTTTGAAATACTCATGGTATACAACCTTTTTAAACCCCCAACTTTACCCTAATTATTGTACCCACCCTCTAAACAATATTTTATCATTGCCCAGTAGCACTCCTCCTGAAGCTTGTATGTCCATAATGAAAGCATGCTTTCACGATTGTCCTTGAGCTGATTTATAAAGGAAAATTAAATCTATTCCTGCACCTTATTCAACTCATCCGGGGATTGATATTTGGGAATGAACGTCAAAATCTAAAATACTTTTTGCT